TCCGGACTCATTCTTCTCGTTAACTAACCGGGCTCAACCTTGTCGTTAACTAACCGGGCTCAATCTTGTCGTTAACTAATAGGGCTCAACCTTCTCGTTTACTAACCGGGCTCAATCTTCTCATTCATTTTCTGGGCTCAATCTCCTCATACACATTCCGGACTCATTCTTCTTATTCAATTTCCGGTCAGAGTAATCTTATTCACTTTCCACGCTTCTGTTCTTATTCACTTTCCTAGCTCGCTATTCTTATTCTTTTTCCGGACTCATTCTTCTAATTGCTTTCCATGTTCACTTTTCTCAATTACATTCCACTACCATTATTTTCATTCACATTCCGAGCTAATTTTTCTTATTCCCTTTCCGGGTTTTTCCTCTTATTCACCATCCGGACTCATTTTTCTTATTCACATTCCGGTTTCATTCTTCTAATTCACTTTCCGAGCTCACTATTCTTAATTCACTTTACAGTTTCATTATTCTTATTCTCTTTCTGGGTTAACGTTTTTATTCACTTTCCGAGCTCACTTTTATTATTAACTACCGAACTAATTATTCTGAAAAAAGGTTTCTTATTCACTTTCTAGCCTTATTTTTTCACTTTCCAAGCTTACTATTCTTAGTTTAATTTCTGTGCTACTACTATCAATCGCTTTCCGGATTCATTCTTTTCAATTCATCTTCCGAATTAATTTTTTCTGGCCACTTTCTAGATTGATTTTTTTCCACCTGATTCATTTTACTTTTCACTTTCAGGACCCAATTTTCTTGTTCATTTTCCGAACCAAGTTTTCGTAGGTACTTTTCGGATATAATTTCTGATTATTTATCCGAACTCATTTTCTAATTCGTCTTCCGCATATTTTCTCATTCACTTTCAAGATTAAGTTTACTGATTCACTGACGACTCGCTTTTCCTCTTCATCTTCTGAACTAATTATTCCCATTTTCATCCGGAATCACACTTTCTTATCAACCTTTTTAATTCATTTTACTGGTTTATTACCAGATTCGTTTGAGTCATTCCCTTTTCAATACGTTCTTTGCTTGACAATTTTCCGGGCTCATTTTTCTAATTTTATTTTTGGGTAAATTCACTTTTGACCTCCGGGTTAACTTTTCTCGTTCACTTTCACGGCTCCTTTTTGCCTTTCACTTTCCGAACTCATTTTTCTCATTCCTTTTCCGGACTAATTTTGTTGATTTACTGAAGACTTGCTTTTCTTTTTCCATTTCCGAATTCCTTTTTTTTTTTTATTAATCTGCCGGAACTGTCAGCTTTTCTTATTCATTTCATTGATTCATTCCCGGATTAATTTCATGCTTCTTTTTCTATTCATTTTCCGTACTGAAACTTCTTATCCTGATTTCCGGGTAAAATGACTTTTGCTTTTTTTATATTTTGCCTGCCAATTACTGAATCATTTTCTGGACTCACTTTTCTTAATCACTTAGCGGGCACACTTGTACTTTACTTTCCCGATTTTTTGTTCGCATCTATGAAAAGAAAAAATCATGTTGATAACAACCTTCAGAGTGACCACTAACCTTCTCCCAGAGGATGAAAAACTCCAGAATGACCACAAACAACCTTTTAGAGGATGACAATCTTCAGAATGACCACACACAACCTCTAAAAGAATGACAACCTTCAGAATGACCACAAACAACCTTTCAGAGGATGACAACCTTCAGAATGACCAAACACAACCTCTCAGAGGATGACAATTTTAAGAATGACCACACACCACCTCTCAGAGGATGACAACCTTAAGAATGACCACACACCACCTCTCAGAGGATGACAACCTTCAGAATGACCATACACAACCTCTCAGAGGATGACAACATTCAGAATAACCAAACACAACCTCTCAGAGGATGACAATTTTAAGAATGACCATACACCACCTCTCAGAGGATGACAACCTTCAGAATGACCACACACCACCTCTCAGAGGATGACACCTATCAGAATAACCACTTATGATCTCTCAGAGGATGACAAACTCCAGAATGACCACACACAACCTCTCAAAGTACAACAACCTTCAGAATGACAACTTATGATCTCTCCAGGATGACAACCTTCAGAATGACCACACACCACCTCTCAGAGGATGACAACCTTCAGAATGACCAAACACAACCTCTCAGAGGATGACAACCTTCAGAATGACCAAACACAACCTCTCAGAGGATGACAACCTTCAGAATGACCACACACAACCTCTCAGAGGATGACAACCTTCAGAATGACCATAAACAATCACTCAGAGGATGACAAACTCCAGAATGACCAAACACAACCTCTCAGGGGATGACAAACTCCAGAATGACCACACACAACCTCTCAAAGTATAACAACCTTCAGAATGACAACTTATGATCTCTCCAGGATGACAACCTTCAGAATGACCACACACAACCTCTCAGAGGATGACAACATTCAGAATAACCAAACACAACCTCTCACGAGTATAACAACCTTCAGAATGACCCTTTATGATCTCTGGAGGATGACACCTATAAGAATAACCACACACCACCTCTCAGAGGGTGACAACCTTCAGAATGACCACACACAACCTCTCAGGGGATGACAACCTCCAGAATGACCACAAACAACCTCTCAGGGGATGACAACCTTCAGAATGACCATAAACAACCTCTCAGGGGATGACAACCTTCAGAATGACCATAAACAATCACTCAGAAGATGACAACCTTCAGAATGACCACAAACAACCTCTCAGGGGATGACAACCTTCAGAATGACCACACATAACCTCTTAGAGGGTGACAACCTTCAGAATGACCACACATAACCTCTCAGAGGGTGACAACCTTCAGATAACCACAAACAACCTTCCAAATGATGACAACTTTTAGAATAACCATTCACAACCTTTCAGAGAATGGCAACCTTCCAAATGAACACAAACAATCTTCCAAATGCTGACAACTTTGAGGAAGACCACAAGCAACTTTCCAAATGATGACAATTTTCAGAGGGACCAAAATCAACCTCTTTAATTAATCCTTGTATTAGATACAGACACACATGTAATCAATGACTGATCAATGTGTCTGGTCTTTAAAGGATCTGATACCACATACTAGATTATGTAAGACAGTTATCTGTTGATCGTCCAGTAAAGATCATAGGGATTCTAACTGATGTCTTTTTGAATTCTTATTGTTCTAACATTACAACAATTCTGTTGTTTCTTCTAAAAACAAGGGGTCCATGAGACCTTAACACTCAAATAAATTATATGGAACCAAATGTTTTAGGAACATGTTTAAACCTATGTAAACAGTGTTTTAAGTCTGTATGCAGCCATTCTTGTGAAGGAGTGAAAAATGTATTAGCCAATCAACCAACAGGTTTCTAACTCATACAGGATCATTTGTACAGGGTTTTGACACAATTGATGTATCTATTCCTGAGATGAAGTCGAAAATGTCCCATCTAACCAGAAACCAGGGCAGTCATCTTGGAATTTTTGTTTTTGGATTATTTTGGACATTAACAACACTTGACCAGGACCTCATAAGGAACATTTGAACCGAGTCATTCACTCCAGTAGTTATCGAGAACAATTAAAAGATGACTTTGCCAAACAGAGAGCAGGATGGCAATCTCTGATATTCTAGAAAAGTAACAATACATGGTGGTGACAGAACAGTTGTGCCAATTTCTAGTCAACCACTACAGATTTTCTTGAGAAAGAGTCGAAAATGTCAATCAGTCAAAAGCAAGGGCGGCCATCTTGGATTTTTGGGTGGGCATGAAAAGTAACAACACTAATTAAGTCAGGATTGTATAAGGAACATTTGTACAAAGATCCGAGCAAATTTCATCAGTGGTTCTTCAGTAGAAGTTAAAACTGTCTCAGCCATTAAGAGACCAGGGTGGCCATCTTTGATTTTAAGATTGGCACAGAAAGTAACAACACTTTATCAGGACCTCATCATATTTTTCCTAGTTTGGTGTCATTGGCTTCTGTAGTTCTTGAAAGCCAATCAGAGGCAATTACAAACTTTGTGATTGTTGGATCAGTGCTTGGTCGGAACATTCTAAGGAAAATAATTTTACCAAATTTGGAGTCGATCAATTCAGTGCTTTTTAATAAGTTGAAAAGGTCTCATCCAATCAGAGGGAAAGGTGGCCATTTTTTATTTTCAGATTGGCACAAAAGAAACATTTGTTTTGAATCAAGATTGAAATAGTTCTTCAGTGGTTCTTGTTAACGGATGGCGGACAATGGACAACACATGATATAGGACGAACACAATAGCTTCCCGTTACATTGTCACCAATAGTCGTCACATCCCCATTTAATCTATCTTTATTTCATGATTGTAGAAAATAATTGAAACAAGAGATCCCAGAGGGATCTTGGCGCCCACATTTGTACCATCTTCATTAGTTCTTTGTCAGTTCGATCTTTTCTCTGCTTTCCTCTAATCTGTTTGATCGAGTCATGTTAACAGTAAATGCACCTTGAGGTCACTTTTGATCTAAACTTAATACTGATGTGTATGGAAGCCAACTTTCAAAGTGAGTTTGTCATTTCGAATATTTACTAGTACAGTACTTAATGTGAAAGAAATAGAATCGATCATTGCAATATGAGAAAGATCTGTTTAGTTCTTCTTTTAATCCATTTTGTTTTTATGATCAGTCTCAAAATATAACATACACAACGAGGGATCAAGGGGAACCTACATTTAAAATTTGAGAAAGATCCCTCCCGTACTTCCCGAGAAATAGCGATAACAAACTTTCACTATCAAAATCCAAGATGGCTGCCTGTCGGCCATGTTGTTTATCCGATCAGTCTCTAAAATTGCCCTGCACAGCTAGGACCAAGGGGAACCTACATATAAAATTTAAGAAAGATCCCTCTAGTTCTTCCGGAGAAATAGCGGTAACAAACCTACAATATCAAAACCAAAGATGGCTGCCTGTCGGCCATGTTGTTTATCCGATCAGTCTCAAAAATTGCCCTGCACAGCTAGGACCAAGGGGAACCTACATATAAAATTTAAGAAAGATCCCTCTAGTTCTTCCGGAGAAATAGCGGTAACAAACTTTCAATATCAAAACCAAAGATGGCTGCCTGTCGGCCATGTTGTTTATCCGATCAGTCTCAAAAATATGCCCTGCACAGCTAAGGACCAAGGGGAACCTACATATAAAATTTGAGAAAGATCCCTCTGGTACTTCTTGAGAAATAGCGATAACAAACTTTCAATATCAAAATCCAAGATGGCTGCCTGTCGGCCATGTTGTTTATTCGATCAGTCTCAAAAGTTGCCCTGCACAAATAAAAACCAAGGGGAACCTACATATTGAATTTTAAAAAGATCCCTAGGTACTTCAGGAGAAATAGCGATAACAAACTTTCCCTATCAAAATCCAAGATGGCTGCCTGTCGGCCATGTTGTTTATCCGATCAGTCTAAAAAGTTGCCCTGCACAGCTAAGTACCAAGGGGAACTTACATATGAAATTTGAGAAAGATCCTTCTGGTACTTCTTGAGAAATACTGATAACAAGAATTGTTTAAGGACGGACGACGGACGGACTACGTACCACGGACGCAGGGTGATTTAAATCCCACCATCAGATGATGGTGGGCTAAAAACAAATAAAATCACAGTACTGTCACAAAAAGATTTTATTAATTTACTTAACTATTCTTGAATTATCACATTATTAAATAGATAGTAAAGCATCGATGTAAGAGAGCTCTGCTAACCTGAGTATCACATATGCACTGGAGGGCATTTGTAAAACTTAATCATAAATAATTTCCATGTACTTGGTACAAAGGACCTGGCTAATCTGGGTCCTATATAATCTTCAAGTTCAAGAAAGATTTCAAGAATGTAGGTAATAAATCATGAAGGATTTTGGTTATTTAAATTTGTTTCAGGAATTTAAGTGGCACTAAACAGGTTTCACTTGATTGATAGGCTGCCAGGCTCAAAAATCATCACCAATACATGGAATCAGACACAGGCTGAGCTCAAACTTTACTTAACATGATGTAACTCAAACTCAGCTGGAGTCCGACTCCAATTTGTGATAGTCGAGCTAGACCAAGTGAATCATCATGATGTGAACAGAGACAGCGGTTTTCCTACATGTCATGATATTTTTGTAAGTCATGCTCTATGGTTAGACAATATCTCCAGATTTATGTTAATTGCAAAAGCAAAGCATCTGTAAAAACATTCCAAGCACAAAAGTTAAGTGAAACGGCCACTTTAAAGTGAAGGGAGACAACCTATGGTTATGTATGATTGAATATCTTGCGGTGCTTCTGCTTAACATGACCATACATGACCAATTAACTATTTTTTGATAATACAAGTACGTGTTTATTTATAGTGAGATGGGGAGATGGCAGTGTGTATAAGGCCAAGGCACACTACAAAAGGTAAATTACTAGTCTGGTATCAACTCTCTATCTTGGATCTTTTATAAGTTTCCCAAATATTTAAGTTAACATACCTAGTGGAGTAAAATGACTAAGCATACTTAGTCACTTCCAGAAAGTGTCTATTATGTTGCTATCAAATATCGTTATAAACCCTCCTCTCTCAAAAAAGTTATAATATTATGCCATTTAAAAAAAACACCTGGAGTCTATATGAATACTGTGACCACTTTAGGCTGTAACTATGCAGACATGCAAGGATATCTTTATAAAGGGGTTCAACACATGTTTGGAATTGAACAACTCAAAAATAAGTTTACACTTGTTCCCATATCAAATTACTGCAAAATGCCTCCTCAAAAAATATTTTCATAACAAAATAATATCTTAAATCATTAGACAATAAAGTAAAGTATACAAATTGTTTCTCAATACAACATGCCCAAAATCTGTGTGAATGTAAGAACAGCATAAAATATCAAATTATTTAGGTAGGTAACACAAATATTTTAATACACAAATTCTTTCTACACAGTATTTGTCTATTCCACCACCTTAGTTGTGATATAAACATTTCTACGAACACAGATAAGTGGAAATATTTGTTTGGCAACACAATGTAAAATGTATCAGTATATAAAATATAGAATTAACCTTATTTATACAAATACAATTGAAATAGCATGCCGTCTGATATGACATTCAGATGTTATATTGAAGAAAACACGTTATACAGTTGCATTGAAGTAGTGTTTATAGCATGTAAAATATCACACAAGTCAAACAGATAAAAAACATGAAGATATCAGCATTAGTTTACCAGTGAAACGTTGTACACAATCAGCACTTTAACACAAAATGATAATGAAGTCATATGTTGATTTTATAAATCTCATTGTATTGATATCATAATCTACATTAGAACAATATATGTGCAAATGTACATATACAGGTAGTCAATATACCAGTGCTCCAGTCAATATACCAGTGCTCCAGTTAAGCTGAACATATACAGGTATCAATATACCAGTGCTCCAGTCAATATACCAGTGCTCCAGTTAGGTTGTGTATATGTATATGATGTGTGTACCAATTAAAAAATAAATCTAATTTTTATATTAGCATTATGCAGATGTAACCATTACCTGGTGTCTGCAATCCATATACAAACTTCACAAAAACTGAATCATTAAAATGTTTGCTGTCACTCAATGCCGTAAGTTTCATATAAAAATCTTTCTAGAGTCAGATTTATTTATCCAAAGATGTTGCTGTTCAATAAAAATATAAACAACAGTTTCCATGAGCATCTTTATCAATGATGTTCTACGTGAAGTTGATAAACATGAACAAAAACACGAAAAAACTTGACCAGTCCTGCAAGATGTGTCTGTCGGCTTGTGTTCCAAAAATTGTGGATTCCAAATGTGAAAATCAGAACTTCTTTCATCACTTTCACTCCTCCATTGAAGGTTAAAAAAACTTAACTGAAGCACTGATATATACCATGTGATATCCTCACTGGTTGTATTGGAACATGTATATGACACTGATGTTTCTGTAGAAGATCCATTGACGTTTCTGTAGAAGATCCACTGACGTTTCAGTAGAAGATCCACTGACAGTGTAGAACAATGGTAGACTGAAAGTCTTGACATATTGCAGAACACTGAATCAACATCACAAAGAATAGCACTATTGAGATCTTATAAAACATTGCCTCGACACATCACAGATATTTTTCAAATTATAATTACATTATAAATTGCTTTAAATTAATGTACAAGTTCAACGCCCCTAACTACTGAAGTTATGACTAATCCATACTACGCAGGATTTACATATGTGTATTCCGAATGTCTCTTAACCAATTTTATAAACGCTAAACAACTCAAATATTTTATTTTGTTGTATTTTCTAAACTTGTTTTTATGAGAATAAAACCACCATAATTGATATACAACCATAATTAAATGTCAATCAAGTCAAATTCAAAGTTCACATTTGACCTAGATTTATTTTTTGTTAAATTGAGGGGCTTTTAGGGCTTTTTAATAAATTTTATGACTTTTTAAGGCCAATCCTTTGTTTTCAGGGTCTTTTCAAGGTCTGTAAGAAGCCTGTGTAGCTCAACCTTAGGCCATTGACTTATTATACCAGGGGAGTTATCACCATCACTCAAAATAGGGAAACTTGTCCATTGTAAAGCGGTACTTATTAACAACTTACCCCTCAGAGGCCTCAAAAATATTTTATGATTCAACATGTTTTGAATAGAAAATAACTCAATCACCATTATTAATAATAAGCATGAAATGTTAACTACATGTAGTTGTGACAGAAAATAAAAACAATGTCACAATGCCAATTTTAGAATTTAATTTTGCATCAGATATATGTAGGCTAGTTCTGTGACAAATACTATTGTCAACATGTAAGCACTTATTTAATCTCAGAACTATCATACACAGTAATCATAAGCCACTGAACAAAAATGTTAGTGCTTTTAGCATGTAGCATAATACACATAGTGATCCTATTGCAACTTGCATATTAATAATATCAGATATTATATTCCTGAAATTGTGTTGCATCCTAAATCTTATTTCTCGTTATTCTACATTTTCTTGAAGAAGTTCAATTTCCACATTGTTGTGAGGTCCATGCAGTAACATTTCTCCTTCATATTTGATGTACTTCTTTTTCTTTGCTGCACGAAGAGTTCCCACAAGGGCCTCAAACATGTTGGCACATTTATCATCCTCAAAAAGTGTACCAAACTTCACAACACAATTCCCATCAGCATCTGAAAAATCAGATTACATTTAAATATGGACTATTTACAAGTAAAAGGGTTTATTTGAAGTTTTATGACTAAACATTGAAAATGTAAAAATCCCAAGAAACATCAGTATAATATATTTTGTTAACATTTATAAAACAGGAAGTTACAATCTGGGCAAAATTCAGAATAATAAAAAATGAACGAAGGGAAATAACTCTTTATGTAGTGGAGAACAAGACCAAATTTAAGTAACTCACATTCTGTCCTCGCCAGAAGCACTTACATAACCAAATCCCAGACACTGTCTTGCCAGTAAGAAAAGCCCACTCCAAGACACTGTTTTTCCAGCTTGAGTAACCCACTCCGATACACTTTCTTTTTTCAGCTAGGGTAACCAATTCCCAGACACTGTCTTGTCAGCTTGGGTAACCCACCCCCAGACAATGTCTTGTCAGCTAGGGTAACACAACCACAGACAACAGTTTATCAGATTTGGTAACCTACCCCCAGACACTGTCATTTTTCAGCTTGGGTAACCCATACCCAGACACTGTCATGTCTGCTGGGGTAGCCTACCACAGACACTGTCTTCTCAGCTGGGATAGCCAATCCCCAGACACTGTCTTGTCTGCTAAAATAACCCACCCCAAGACATTGTCTTTTCAACTTTAGTAACCGAACCCGAGACACTCTCTTTTTTCAGCTAGGGTAACCTATTCCCAGACACGGTCTTGTCAGCTTGGCCCAGGGAGACGTATATTGCCAAACTAAGTCAAAATCTCCAATTCCGATACTTAAACAAAAAGTCTTCAAATCTTAACCCACATTTTTGCTTTAAGGTACTGCCCTCTGTTCCCCGAGGGCCACATCCTTCATTCATACAATGCTTAATCCCTTTAGGTCTAAGTCACTGCATCTGTCCTTAAATAATGCTAATCTTTAAAAAAAAAAGAACATAATAACTTTAGCCCTAGCCCTACTTCCAAGGGGGCTACCTCCTTCACTTACACAATATTTAATTCCTTGGCCCAGGGAAGCTCCTTGCTAAATTAGGTCCAAATCTCTTCACCCATCCTTTTAAAGACTTTCTCTTATTTCATATTTTAGGTCCTGTTCCTCTGGGAGAAGTGGGACACATCTTTCATTCATACAAAATTTAAATTCCCTTTGATTCATTCCAAATTTGGTCAGAATCACGTAAGCCATTCTGGAAAAGTTGTATTTTAAAGGTTGGTGCCCCTTAGATAGCAGATGGACAATGTGACACAGTAAAAGTTCACCAAGCCTTTTGGTCTTGTGAGCTAAAAATGTCCAAAACTTTAATTAAACGTTACACCAATAAGGTTTGATTGCAGGTATCTTAAAATTAATAATGACATTTGCTAACTGCATCCCATACTTACTTCTGCTGTTATCACCGAGCCGCTTCAACTCTTCCACCAACAGCGATACTTCATGTGATACATTCATAATGGTACTTTTGTTCCTGAAATCACAGTATTTACCCATAAGTCCAATAAATTAACCTAGTGTCACATACGATATCCATCTTGCACTAGGGGTCAACATATAAACTCTGACTCAAGCAGAGGTAGAGATGGGCCGATTCAAGGAAAATAAAAAAAACACTTGTTGGAATTTTTGTTTAACTGCAGTAGATGTACCTATAGGTTTGGAGCACAAAATCCAATGCAGTGGCACATCTTTGGACAGCAGAATGTTTAATGTACATGAGACCTTCATTTGACATTTGACCTCCATCAATTTGTAGTAAAACTAAAAGGCTAGTCAGGAACATGTAACATGCATGTATTAAACTTATATACTGTTATAACAGACAGAAACACCAAACTTTGTATATGGGTACATCTTTGGATTACAGAATGACACAACAAGTCACTCATGTCTTTTGGCTGTTAAACATTAACACCTCAGCACAACAAAATGATGCACAGAAATATTATTAAAAACTTATTGCCATAATTAAAAACTTCTAATTAAAGAAAGATTTTATTTTATACACTCAGGAAATATTGTATTCTTTAACTGGTGAAGGACTTATATAAAAGTACAGGCTCACTAATACATTTACTTTGTTGTTTTCTGTGGATAAGATGTGACAGTGACACACATGTGCAGTGTCAGTGGTTTATCAAGCACCAGATGGCTTCATTTAGTCCTTTGTTTAAGGTTGTTGTGGAATGTATCATGAAATAATTAACATCATTATTACAATATGTAATAAGTGTTATATATTAAGATGTTATAGTACAGGATTTACCAGGGTCGAAGCACAGGGATCTGAGAATTTGTTACAGCTATATTTGGAAATAAACTGAGGTGTTCAGAGTAATTTTACATGTTTATTTCCAAATATTGCTGTAACAAATTCTCAGGTCTCTGTGGGTCGAAAGGTGTAGTCTGATTGGCCACCCAATGAAGACTGGATTTCAGTTCAATCTCATTCGATTCATCATTACTCTGTCAAATTTTCAAATATCATACTGAAATTTGGTATATATATAGTTGTATTATAGTCATAAAAATATTATATCTTCTGATGACGCTGACTTATCAATTAACTTTAGAGAAGCTTCTTGGTCTGTAGAGTTCTATACACCCATATGTGCCACGTTGCCGATCGTAAAAATTCAATTCATATCAAAACTCAGTCAATTTTTAAATATTGAAATTTGGTCTATATGTGTATTAGAAGTACATGTTCTGATGTAGCTTACTTTATGCAGTATTTTGTCTGACAACGGTTGTTGTCGCTTGAAGACACTTATTTTCGGTTGAAGACACTTTTAAGAAGTACCCATAAAACTGCCAAACGCTGGTATACTTATGAGACTATCCGGTGACCTAATTGGTGGTTTTGGATAAACAAATAACTCATCTATCAGGTAAGTGTTACGTCATAGCAGTTTTACATAGTCAAACAAAATCTCTATAAAAACCACCTACCCCTGATAATGACAGCATACAAAACTTAATGGTAACACCAAAAAGAGTCAGGAAATACCAATTCAATACGTCAAAAGTCTGGTGTTTGGGCCAGACAGAGACGTATAACACCGTGTTATATACGTCTCTGGGCCAGAGGAAATTCGGGCTAACATAGATACCTAACATAGATATAATATTCAAGTAAACCAGACTGCATACAATAAAGTTAAATACAAATGTTCTGAATTTAAACAAAAATGACTGCATTATGTTTTTCCCATCTCCATTGTTTGCTTCCTGTCCAAGTTCCTAACGTTTGCCCCCAGTCACTCACAGGGATACACCCAGCGCACGTTTCTTTTATGACATCATTCATTGATTTCACGGAGATGTTATATGGAACACGTCTGGAGACAAATACTTACCCGACATTTATTTTATGTTTCAGTTATTCAGTAATGTTCTTCGGGCAAAATTTTCCAAACAGACATCAAACAAGGAAGAACTTACCTTGTGTATTCGCTGGCGTGAAACCCTAACCAGGAAGTAAACCGGAAATAGCGTGAAAAGATTGCGCATGTAAAAATTTCCAGAGTCGCACATGCGCATCATTACAGAGCCATCTTGAAGTTGTCGACTGGAATCGGAATATTATCGGTGAAATTCTTTAATTTTATCGTACTAGGAAAACTTAAACATGGCTTTTCTCAGAAAAAGACGATAGAATGTGTATTCGACAATGAATTCGAGGAGTCCGATGCAGCCTTACCTTAGTAATTCCCTGGCTATCCGTCAGGAGATCCAGCGATTCGAGAGCGTACACCCGAGTATCTACGCTATTTATGATTTAATAGATGCTATCCCTGACCCGTTAATACAGCAGCAGATTCGGGAGCATGTCGTCTGCATAGAAGGTATGTACTATTACCCTCTTTTTAAACCATACTTATCATCGTCTTTGAATTAATTTGACACACCAGCATGCTGCAAACTACAGCGGAGCAAGCAGAGAAGCCATTTGTAAACAAATGCATGCAGAAGTTGGTCATACGATTCTGGTGCCGGCGAATGAAGAGTCGTCCCAGTAAGCAGTATTCGCTACAGAATCTGACAATGGATATCGTCGAGGTTTTATCAGATTTTATTATAAAAAAGATGTGTTACAGATCATACGCACAAGAAGAAATGGTTAACGTAGGTGTCAACGTGAAACACATGATGTGGATAGGCATCATAAAACTACACCCATTCCCAACTGACTGGTAATCAATGTCTGCATTTCTAATCAATGTGGCCATACAGTATCTGCAGTTGTCGAATCTTGCATGATTCGCTGCGGGAGAAAGTATGATTTGCATGTTCACAAATGTACTCATATTCAATTCCATGAATTGACAGTCGTTCTCAATTTTATTGAATTTATATTCTATGGCAAAAATTTAATATTAAAGAGTCCATGTTAAAATTTTAGCTCATGTGTGAATATGAATTTTTGAAATGCCTCCACCCTCCCCCCCAAAAAAACACATGTTCTCTGTCATACCCTCAGCCCTTTCAATAAAAGTTAATAGAAATGCTTTGGATGTCATTCTTGATGTTTTCATTTTAATTAAAAATAGCTAACATGCAAAATAGTTTTGCAATTTTTGTGCCTCTTAAAGTTTATTTTGTGAAATAATGTGGACTGTGCAAAACATTTAAAAGATTTGTACACCCTAGATTCAGCTGCTAGTAAATGTGTCATGTGTATCATGTATACTTCATGTGTATTGTTGACATCCATATATGCACTACTGTACATATAGTGATGATATTTGAAGGATCTTTTTCAGACTGGTCCTAATTATAAGCATTATTTACAAAATGTTGACAAGTTCCAATAATAAGTTATATTGAACAGCTCCCACAGGAACAGCAGGAGTCCAGGACTTAGGCATCTGTGTCCCTAATCACTGCTGACTGTGCATGTACATGTCTGTAATAAACAAATGATCTGTGTTGATGTAATCTCTGATGAGCGAGTTGTCGCTGTGCAGTGGTTACAGTACACCACTACCTGTCCTGAGACACAGGTCACCTTTAAGGCTCAGGTGTGGCATGAGCCGTCATGGTATAGTGTAATTATACTATAAACTAAGTCAAGTTTATACAAATAATAAGCCTTGTCTTTATGTGCCTCTGCCATCCAGAGGTTATACTTAAGCTTATGCTTTAAGATTTTACAATGAAAACTGCTTTGTTTCAGAGATATTTTGACTGTTTTTTCGTTTGCAGGGTTACCTCGCCATGAGGGATAGGTAAGGGTGGGGGATTTATATACTGTTGGTATACATGAATATAAATAAACAACAGAACATCCTGAAATACTGTTTTGCATTTCCTGATTGCAAGTTTATTCAGGAAGGATGAGAAATTTACCCAATTTGAAAACCCTCTGTGAAATTTCACTAACCTACTTCCCTGGGCATGAAGGATTACTCGGAAACCATTTACACATAGACAGATCCATGTAGAAGTGTAAATGCCAGTGTCCAATAGCTGTTACATAATGTGTGAACTCTTAATGTAACAGGCAGTAATGAGTAGGAGGAGCACCTACCTGCAGGTGCCACATACTAATTAGCACTGTGCCATCAATAGCTGAGTAGGTTTGGTGATAACATGGCTAGATACTGATCATATTCATGTAGTATAGATGTGATGTAGCTAATTATCACTACTACTATATACAATGTATACATGTACCCTAATCGGTGTATAGAACTTCAACATTGATTTGATGGGCTGTATACATTTGACGTTAGGCAATAATACTGTGATATATAATAAGTATATCAAAGGCCAAGTTTGTTTTAACACAAACAGGAATTAAAAACTTCCAATTAAGTTTTCAATTCCTGTTTATGTTCAAATCAAACTTAGCCTTTATTATTCATACCAAACTGATGAATATTCAGAATAAGTAAATTGCGTTGTGTTTTAGGTAGTATGAAAGATGCATAATATTTCGGACATTTCATTTTATTTTGTTGAAATGTTTCTGTCATTGACCTCTTATTTATAGTGCAAAGCTGGATCTAGTTTGGCATGGTTGCCATTATACACATTGTATCATACCTGATGTAACACAGGCCCAGCTTTATCGTGACAGAGGGTGTAGAACTGTTATTATATGAAATACAGGAGGTTCTTCCTGATGTAGTAGGCTCATCTCTACATGATGCTGTTGTAGATCTGGTAGAAGGTTAAAAACCTGCATATTGCAGCCTTTCTACAAAATAAAAACTGTTTCTTTTAACTTTCAAGACATATCAAGTACTATAAAACCTTAAATCAAAAGATAGAGCAAGTATGGAGAAACTGACAAAGTGAATGTCAACAGAATGGTTTGTTCTAGCTGTCGTGTTAGCTAGTAGTGTGGCTGCAGAATCCAATGTTTGCAGACCGGCTGAAATAATGTGGAACATGTTTTCATCATTTTGGTTAACTTTGATTAATAATGTTCCATCTGGTACAGGAAATCACCCAGGTTGCAGCCAGTAAATGTGTATAAAATGCTGTATGATTATCAACAATACTGGTTAAGTTAATCCTCCATTCTAGCACTCAATTGTACATGTATGTATATTAAGGCAAGGGTAGAGCCAACACCGTGGTTTTCTTAATGATGGAATAATTTGGTCCTTTGCTCCTCGTCTGGATACTCGAAAGTATGCAGGGGATTGAGTAAAAGAAGGACACTTCTAATAAACTACAAGAATAACTTAATGCTCCTTCGCCTGTTGTGATTGAACCTATTTTATGATGTATGTATATTATATACAGTTATAAGGAATTTCTCATTGTAGATGAGAAATAACACATTGATTTTATATTATCTTTCTGCAGTTTGTTCACATTTTCAGTACTTTGAAATTGAATGAAATAAATTTTATGTATGCATGCAATCAAAGATTTGCATAGCAATGTGATAAAATATAGGCATCGTAGCCAATTGACTCTTAAATGTTGTTGCACAACCAACAATATAAGTAAAGTAACATGCAATATCATGCAATACTATTATATACCTGTAATCAGTGTTCCTATCAGTTCTGTTTACTCAAGACTGTGGACTGTGCATGTGAATATGATGTCTCCAGTCATAATATGTCAAAGATCTAGCAGACTTTTATCACTCTGTCATTATATAGAAATGTACATTAAAACGAGTCATGTAATTGAATATTTACATACTAGCCCTGCATTTTTTTCACTTCATAAATATAATGTATTTAAAAAGTGGGCCCTAGGCCTCATAAAAGTCCTCTATTCTCCATATGCTTGCATTGACTACTATATACTGTTGTATCCTAAAACAAATACTCGGGCGGTACACATTCTTTTGCGTCATTACTCAACATTAGCATACACAAATGATGGATGTTGTTACAGGTGGAAAATTCCAAGTGTACTTGTACCTATATATTCCTGTTTACCCTCACTACATACATTTTGTATGACCACCTGGTGAAGTGCTGCTAGCTGGAGTGTATATAAAGGTGATATTTAGTGTAGAGGTGGATCTATAAGTCAGCTGTATCCCTTTACACTGACACAGGTACATTTGTATACTATGTGTATCCTCCTACACAGGTACATTTAATTTGTACACTGTATCCCCTCACACAGGAACATTTGTACACTGTATCCCCCCACACATTTATATTTGTATACTGTATTCCCCCACACATGTACATTCGTACACTGTATCCCCCAACACATGTACATTTGTACACTGTATCCCTCCACACAGGTTCATCTGTACACTGTATCCCCCCACACATGTTTATTTGTATACTATGTGTATCCTCTCACACAGGTACATTTAATTTGTACACTGGATCCCCTCACACAGGTACATTGGTATACTGTATCCACTCACACAGGTACATTTATACACTATGTGTATCCCCTCACACAGGTACATTTATACACTATGTGTATCCCCCCACACATGTACATTTGTATACTGTATATATCCCCCCACATAGGTACTTTGTATACTGTATCCCCCCACACAGGTACATTTGTACACTGTATCCCCCAACACAGGTACATTTGTATACTGTATCCCCCCACACATGTACATTTGTATACTGTATCCCCCCACACATGTACATTTGTATATTGTATCCCCTCACACAGGTTCATTTGTACATTGTATCCCCTCACACAGGTTCATTGGTACACTGTATCCCCTCACACCACAAGTACTTTTTCACACTGTATCAACTTTTTGCAATCGTTTTCCTTGTGACTTTTGCAGATTGATTTTCCTGGTGTATAAGATAACTAAACATGCTTTAAAACACAGAAAATTGAAATCTAGGATGTCACTTGTATTTGTTGAAAGTGAAGCATAAAAGCATGATGCAACACACTGTCTACTATAGTAATTCTTCATATCTAAGGAGAATTAATATATATATATATATACTAAAACCTAGAAAGTATACTTTGAATGAATTGAGCTAAGAATGTATTGAATAGAATCCACCGGTAGACAAGATAGGGATCATACAATTAGGTTGACCTTTGACCTTATCAGATTTCTGTAGTTATTGGGTCGTGAAATATACCTGGCAGCTAAATACTTTCCATTCATGTATTGGGTTGAGGTGGGTAGTGATAAACTGTACCGCCAATGTGTTAGGTGGGTTAGGGCGCTATATCACCTTATAAATATTTCTGTTTGTAATGAAGTCTGCTTAGAAACTTGGACGGTGTTGCATTCTTTTCCTTTGAAGTAACTCTTTTAAACTGTACATTCCTAACCAGAAATTCATGTGTTTGCCAAACCAATTCCTACCAATTGCAAACTGATTTAGATTAAGAAGCGTGGCATCTTAGGTGTTCTGTAACTTTTGAACTG